ACCTATAGTACGACAAAATGTATGTTTGTTACTCATTCACGCCTAAACTACTAAACCAATTTTTATAAAATTTTACAATAATAAAGTTTCAGTCTATAAAAATAACATAGGGTAGTTTTTATTGTAATCAAATTTTTTTAAGGGTGCTAAATAGGGGTTGAAAGCTAAAAATGGAGTTATTACTCAAAATGATCAAAAATTATTTTAAAATGAATATGATGCTTGATGGTTTATAGATTTAAAGATTATGTCGATTAGGTTATGTTAACATGTTACAAGTTAAGGGTAAACTTCACACGTCATAGAAACTGGAAACTAGTTTAGTTCGAGTTTCAAACTTCTACCAATTAATCAAATAGCAAACTTATCACAAAATCAAAATCAGTATCTAAACTAAATTTGTTTGTCTGTAATTTCAACAAAAAGTAAACACAATGTAATTTCGCCCACTTGTGAAAATATCCCGTGCACAACGTAAATAATGTATTTATGTTGTCCATAACTCGAAATTGCATGCATAAATTGTGTAGCGTTGAATTTTATTGCAGTTTTCGAAATTTATTGATTCAATCGGACGGTTTATTTAAACCTAAACTGTTGCATACAATGAACATGGTGTACAATGTAGTGTGCGCTATTGAAATGTAGATATAGATAAATCGACAGAAATTCACAAAACTCGGCGGTGTTTCGCCCGTGGCGCTTTGGGCGAAAATTGCAGACGTGTAGGAAATTTAAGTTTATTGGGAGCATTGTGCGAGCGCTTCTTAGATTCCGACCATTTTGCATTTCCAGCGCTATTCAGTATTTACCCATTATGATGTCAGTCAAAAAACGGTCGAAGGCGTCGCGGATTACGATCAACCGGCGATTGGAATATGGATTTGAAAGGAATTCGATTATGCGGTGTACGACAACTGAAAAACACCATTTCAACACTCGGCAAAAACTTCCAAGACTTTTTTCCTTCTTTTTAATTTATTTTTGACCAAGCGTGGAATTAATATTTTCGCTGATGGTCGTGTGCGGTAGTTGTGGCACAGGGATGTTTTCTGGGACAAAGAGCAGAATTCGTCGTCGACGGGTTTTTGTTTCGAAATTTCATTACATGTGCTCCAAACGATATAGTCACTCGTATAAAGCTCGTTACCGAATGTAAAATTGCTTCGCGCGGCGGGCGACATGTCGGGTGTTCGTCGACAAGAACGGACATTAGTCAAAGCGTCGACGTTCACACACTAGTTACACTCGAAAATATACACCAATTGTTGAAATAAAATTCCAATTTTCCGGTTTTCCGGTTTTACTCATATTCACTCCCCATACCTAAAAACACATTCTGAACATAATTAAATGCACTTCCGGTTTTCCGGTTTAACATTTTCTTTACCTTCTATAGTAATTTCCAAAAGCTTACTTTAAAAACACATCCCGCGTGTGCAGTTACAACAATTTGTATAATATCGCTTCACCGGAAGTTGAAGTTTCGGTGTGGCTTTCTATGCAGCAATTCGTACGTCGGGGGATGTTTGGCCGTTTTGTTATTACGAGCATGCCGTCGATGTCGCCCGCGCATTTTGCATCGTGCGCGCAGCTTCATGTCGTTGGCACATTTGCTGCGGGGGGCGGCAACTCACACGCATACACAAACATACGACAAGGAGACACATTCCGGGCGTCATAATGTTTGCGGTAATCTGACGTACGTGAGCATCATTGTTATTCCCCGGAGAAATCACGCTCGCCAACCATTTACGAGCGAGACCAAAACCCGGATGTCGCTTCATTCAATACCCAACCCCTATTTCTCTCCCGCCACACGTACGAAACATTGACTGAACAATTGCGTTAATATAATTTGCAGGAAAAGAAGTAAAATAAATAAATTTATGATTTTAATTTTTTTTTGTTTGAAATAAAAAATTATAAGGGTGAAAACTACCCTTATTAGATTTAATACCCCTATGGGTGTATTAGGTTTATACTTGACAATTGGCCGTCCCCTAAAGTCTAAAGTGAAACATGAAACGTCGAAACAAAGCGCTCGGACAATGCCCACACGCTGAAAAGGGCTGATTTCTGAATAGGGGATGCTGTATCAAGATAACCAACATTCATGTTACCCCGAATATATCTTGCTCAAACAGAAACCGGTAGTTAGTTTCAACTCATAGAAGATCCTTTCAAAACAGTGAATAAATCTCATCTGGTTGATGATTATCATCAGTTGGGATTATGTTAGCCACGCCTATTAATAGCTGAGAATTAACCACGCCTCTTATATGGGCGGAGCAAAATTAATAAAAATTTTAAATAAAAAATTTATTTTTATGATTTTTTTGATAAAATTTTGATATTTTTGCCTGAATGTGCTTTTGCTAATGATAGCGTAACAAGAAAAGCTTGAAATTGGATGCTTGAGCTTTTCTCATTTTTTTCTGTGACTCTTACGCCAACGCAGCAACTCCGCGTCCTATTTTCCACCTCACTACGATTCCTGATCGTTATTATGTTTGCCAGAGCTTAATAAAGCTTTTAAATATTTCCGAGAACAAAGCTCTATTTAAATACGAGAAATAATCTTATTTTATTCTTAGAATAGAAATAAAAATATTTAGATTAAATGCTATTTATTAACAATACCTAGGGATATGAAGCTAATCAAATGTTTATTTTTTGTTGTGGGTGTGTGATGAAAGCGGTGCGCTTTTTAAGTCTTGCGTAAAACGTCCACAAAAGCGGAGTAAAATTGGTGCAAAGCAGGACAATGTACACAAAGAGGTAATGCGCTTTAACAGAGTACACCGGGCGGAATCTGAATTTTAAATTCGCGCACACCAGAACCAAGAAAGTGACGAAGATGTTAATTCGCGTTTGGTGCGCGCGCGGCGTGGATCCCTCCATTATTCATCTTAATTCTGCAACGGCGCGCATTGTTTGGAGCTTTTCGCTCTGGTGAAAGCTCCGTGTTTTTCACGACCCAACGCATGCACATCAAGCACATCAAGCACATCAATCTAGCTACGTTTAAACTTTGCTGCAAAAAAAGTGCGAACGTTTAAGCCCCGCCTATTAATAGCTCTCAAATATGCCAAAAATGGGGATTTGAATTTTTACTGAAACTTTGATAACGATTATCCCGTAAACTAAAGGCGATAGAAACAAACAGATTAAAGATTCTTAATCTACGAAATATTCTCAATAAAACAATTATATAATACAATAATATTTCTTGGTAGAAAAGCTCCAAAAACGCGACTAAATGTGCCAGAAAGTGTTTCAATTTTTGCCTATTTTCTTCAATTTTGAATATCTCGTAAACTAAAAGAGATAATTTGGATCTGATCGCAGCGTCTTAATGTACGGACTATTCTCTATAAGATAGGCTAGTTAAAACGGAAATCTGAGAGATGAAATTTTAATTCTTAAGAAAAAATTGCCAAGGGGGGGTGCTTGATACTTTTTTTCGACGATTTTCAATAATTAATATCTCTTAAACTAAAAGAGATAGCCACCAACGAATAGCTGATTATGAAAGATTGGAAAATTCTTAATCAGATACAAATATAGAATAATTGTTTTTCCTACAGGAAAAGGTCGAAAAATGCGACTAAAAGTGCTAAAAAGTGACATTTTTCAATTTTTAGTCATTTTTTTCAAACGCGAATATCTCGTAAACTAAAAGAGATAAATAGGATCTAGTCGCAGCGTCTTAATCAGCGGACTATTCTCTATAAGATAGGATAGTTAAAACGGAAATCTGAAAGATAAAATTTTCATTCTTAAGAAAAAAATTGCCAAGGGGGGGTGCTTGATACATTTTTTCGACGATTTTCAATAAGTAATGTCTCTTAAACTAAAAGAGATAGCTACCAACGAATTGCTGATTATGAAAGACTCGAAAATTCTTAATCAGATACAAATATAAAATAATTGTATTTCCTGCAGGAAAAGGTCGAAAAATGCGACTAAAAGTGCTAAAAAGTGACATTTTTCAATTTTTGGCCATTTTTTTCAAACGCGAATATCTCGTAAACTAAAAGAGATCAATAGGATCTGATCGCAGCGTCTTAATCAGCGGACTATTCTCTATAAGATAGGATAGTTAAAAGAGAAATCGGAAAGATAAAATTTTCATTCTTAAGAAAAAAATTGCCAAGGGGGGGTGCTTGATAATTTTTTCGACGATTTTAATAATTAATATCGCTTAAATTAAAAGCAATAGCGACCAACGAATTGCGATATATGATAGATTGGAAAATTCTTAATCAGATACAAATATAAAATAATTGTATTTCCTAAAGGAAAAGGTCGAAAACGCGACTAAAAGTGCTAAAAGTGACATTTTTCAATTTTTGGCCATTTTTTAAATGCCAATATCTCGTGAACTAAAAGAGATAAATAGGATCTGATCGCAGCGTCTTAATCAGCGAACTATTCTCTATAAGATAGGATAGTTAAAAGAGAAATCGGAAAGATAAAATTTTCATTCTTAAGAAAAAAATTGCCAAGGGGGGGTGCTTGATACTTTTTCTCGACGATTTTCAATAATTAATATCTATTAAATTAAAAGAGATAGCTACCAACGAATTGCTGATTATGAAAGATTGAAAAATTCCAAATCAGGTAAAAACATAAAATAATTGTATTTCCTACAGGAAAAAGTCGAAAAACGCAACTAAAAGTGCTAAAAAGTAACATTTTTCAATTTTTGACGATTTTTTTATTGCGAATATCTCGTACACTAAAAGAGATAAGAAGGAATGGAAGAAAAATTTTTAATCTGCGTCAAATTCTCTATGAGATAATCACACGCCATTTTTGACCTTTTTTGCGTTTTGTTAGTATAATAATTTTGAAAAATAAACTGAAATAATGCGCGAGTCACCCCTTGAGATAACGAGGCCCCAAAGTAAATACAGGGGTTGTAGACTTGAGGGATGAACACTGCAAGAACTAGAAAGATGATTAAATTATGACGAAATGTTTGTCTTTTGCAGGAGCAGGCGCCGGGGCGCACGACGCGCCCGCCGCGAGCGTCGGCAGCGTCAGCCTCGCCTCGAAGAAGTTCCGAGACTTCCTGCAGGAGTGGCCGACCCCCGGGACGGGACCATATTTCGACACGAGCATAAATTCAAATATCACCGGCCTCGTTGGGAAAACCGTAATGCTGCACTGCCGAGTGAAGAATCTCGGCAACCGAACGGTACGCAGCGAGCTTTTTATTATTAAATATAAAAAAAATCCGATCGTAAAAAAACTGAAAGAGGAAATTCGACCATACAACCCTTAGCGCCGGGGAATATTTGACAATTTTGAAGGTTTCGACGCATGACTTGGCTGCAGGATGTCACTTACAGCAGGTTTCATCACCCAAGGGCAAAAGGGATGCTGAAATTCATTCGGTCGCAATTAACAGGCGATAAAAGTGTGCGGCGACGGGCGTGTAATTAATTATTCAGCACGGGTCCTAAGTAACTAAGGGCTGTAGGGCCACTTTTTGTTCTGACAGAAATTGGGCATTGATAATGACGCCGTTTGTGATCTACGACAATCACTTTGATCTATATTCATCAAAACTCCAACAAAAAAATAAAAATTCATCAAAATAATATTTTAGCTCCGCCTATTAATAGCACTCAATAACCACGCCCATAATTAAAGCACTTTAATATTTTAATTAAAAATTCAATAGAATGGTAAAAATTTCGTGCTCAATGCGTACTTGACGATGAAAAGTTTTTTTCCTCGCCTGGCGAAAATTACCCCTTTCTACGCTCTTCGCTTTTTAGTTTTTTTTTTTGCACGGGTTGTAGTAAAACCCTTTTTTTTTATTCCGGTCGTTAATTAGAATACCGGACTGAAAATTAAACTGCATCGTTGCATTCAAACGCGGCGCGGTGCTTAGCGCCGCCGAGCGCGACAATTTCCCCAACAACTTTTAATAGGATTTATTTTATGCGATTCGTGTATGGGACGCGCAAATGAGATGCGCTTTTTCACCAGAGGGCGTAATTTATTTCAGAAGAAATTAGTTTCGCATTACGGCTTCGACAATATATTTCAGTGTTTTTCAATTAAACATTCGTATTTGCAAAATAAGAAATAAAAAATACACAAATATTCACTGCAAGGACTTATAAATTAAACAGAACTTTATTTAAGCCCCGCCTATTAATAGCTCTTAAATTATGTAACTTCTTTTTAAATATTTTTGTAGAAATCAATTTTAATCGATTTTTAGAAACGTTTTTAATTATTTTTGTTATAAAATTAGTTTTTTGAAAAAATTAAACAATAATGCAATGTAAGCCCCGCCCAAAAATAGCTCTGAATATTTATAGCATTTTTATTACAAAAAATATATAAAAATGACTTTTTATCAATTTTTTTACATTTTTAAAAGTTATTTTCATTTTAATTCCTTTTTATTTAAAAATTATTGCGTTATGAAACATTTTGTGCCCCGCCCATGAATAGCTAAGCAAGCAAACATGCTCTGTGTGTAAAACATTAGTGATTTAGTGTGCGTGTGCTTTTTTGATGTTTTGAATAGCCATCGAGAAGAATGCGAATGAAAGAGGGTTTTAATTAACACGAACGAGCGCGCGTGGGAAACTGGAAAAACGCCAAAGCGTCAAGCGGCGTGTAATAATTTGTTTTCGCGTGCGGTAAAAACACGCGAGCGCCGCCACCGCCGCCGCCGAAACTCGTAATTAGCGAAAGAGATTGAAGCGTGTCGTGATGGCGGCCGAAAACTGGGTTACGTACGTGTCGGACTTTGTTCATAACCGTCTCTAAGCGGCTCCACTCGCGTATTTTTTCCGTTTCTCGCCGGATAAAGGAGCCGCCGGTACTAATCATTCAAAACTGTCACGATAACGGCGCGGAAGGGGCCAAACTGTAACATAATATCCGTGTTGGCAAAATATATGTGCATTAAAAAGTTTTCCCAAGAAACAACAACTCCTTTCATCTTCAATTCTTCCCGATAATGAAATTAATCGAAAAATAACAAACAACAAACAATAATGTAATTAATATCTTACAAAGGTTACAAAGGAGGTTTTTGTGAAATTTTTATTTTTTGCAAAAAGCTTCGGGGAATTGCGGGTTTGGTTTCCATTTGGCCCTGTGCCAAATAATCATTGCGGAAATCGAAAATCCTAACTTATTTCGAAGGGCGAAGGACGACGCGAACGAATAGCCGGGCGTTATGAGACGATGGTCCGGCACTAAGTCCAAGAATCCATCTTGCTTCCACCCAGCAATCATTACCATATCTCTTCAAGTGTTGTAAAACCTTTTGGAATTTATTAAACAGTATATAAAATATTTTACTTTTGCCATAAAATAAAAATTTATAATATATTTTAAGTCCCGAATTTTTTTTGGGTAAAACTCAGTTTTGAAAATTTTTAAGCCCCTCCCAAAAATAGCTCGGAGTTCAAATAAAGTTTTTCCTATTTTTTCATCAAAAATTATTCAAAATCAACGTCAAAATCAAAATTTGAAGTTTTATGAAAATACATTTTATTTTTTTCTGTAAAATATTCCAATTTGAAGAATTTTAAGCCCCGCCCAAAAATAGCTCGGAGTTCAAATAAAGTGTTTCCTATTTTTTCCTCAAAAGTTATTCAAAATCAACGTCAAAATCAAAATTTGATGTTTTATGAAAATAAATTTTATTTTTTTGTGTAAAATATTCCCATTTGATGAATTTTAAGCCCCGCCCAAAAATAGCTCGGAGTTTGAATGAAGTTTTTCCTACTTTTTCAACAAAAATTATTTAAAATTAACGTAGAAACCACCCTTTTAAATTTTTTGTAAAGAAATTTTTGTTTTTTCTATTAAATATTGCATTTTGGAAGATTTTAAGCCCCGCCCTATAATAGCTCTTATATTATACTGAGTTTTTCTTGTTTTTGATCAATATAAAAATCTTTATTTTATACCAAATCAAGAAAAGCTCTAAAAGCTCTTGGAGGAATTGCGCACTTGTTAATAAACGCACCGAGGTTGCTCCTGGGTTAATTCCATCTAACGCTGATAATGGCGCTGATAAAGACCTACGCTTTCACGCTGGCGAGCGTATCCAATATATTAAAGTCGTCTTAATGCCGCTTTCGCCCAGGGGCGAGTCCAATGATGCTCAACAACGATTTTCAACGCTTTAAACGCCAAAAATCACCCAGCTTTACAATCACACATTATTTTTATGTTTTTCTCCATCTATTTTCGGAAAAAATATATTTTTATATGACTAATGTTGTTGTTTTGATCATTATGAACTAATTTTACCAGAAAGCAATATTTTGACGATTGGATTGATGATATTTCTATGTTTATATCCCCAGATGTCAGTTTTTGTCATATTAATTTAAGCGGATGTCTTGATGTCGTCTAAGCATAGCATTTTTTTTGATTTTCGTCGAGTTTCACTCACACTGTCTTTCTTGCAGTGTTCGGCGCAGTGATATTGTTGTTTCCTTGTTGCTTTGTTGGCCAGCCTGGCGTTCCTCTTTTTTATTAGGTCGTAAAGAGCCGAGACGCTAAAAGTCGAGTTCGCTTTATTGGATTTTCGGACGAAAGCGTCGTTAATACCGAGTTTTACGTCGTTGCGTTTTTCTTTTCTTGCTTGCCGCCCACTCGAATTGTCGGGCGTCGTTGATTCCAACCGCACTATTACATTACTTATATTAACTTTCATATTTTAACACCTAAGAAACTGAGACCAGCAAAAAATTAGATGAAAAAATGGAAAAAAATTATTTTTTTTACAAAAAATTAGAAATTTTTGTTAAAAATTTTGGAAAAAAATTAATAATATTGTGAAATAGTTATAATTTGTTGATATAATAATGAAATTAATTATGTTTTTATTTTTTAACACCTTAAAAACCAAAAATTAGCAAAAAATAAATGAAAATTGGAAAAAAAATTATTTTTTGCTAAAAATTTAGAAAAAAATTAATATTTTTTGTTATAATGTTTAAATTTGCTGATATGACAATCAAATTATTAAAATTGTTATTTTTATCACCTTAAAAACCAAAAATCAGCAAAAATTTATGAAAAATGGACAAAATTTCATTTTTTTTCCTAAAAATTTAGCAAAAAAATCAATATTTTCCGTTGGAATGTAGGAATACGTTGATATGATAATCAAAACCATCAGTGAGGAAATTCACATGTTTGCACACATCCGGCTAGATAATATTTCCACGCCATGAAAATGATATTCTTCGCGTCGGGCGTCTTGTAGCCACCTCGAGGCCATCTAAAATTCATGCGTGCGCTCAGCGATGTAGTTGCATTTGCATATTCATGACAATACTTCTTCTCAGATACGCGAGCGACGAGAGACCTGTGTGAGGAAAACCAGGTGTCGCCTCCGCGCACTGATATCACACACCTCGAATTCTCCGAAAACGAAATCGCAATGGAAGCAAATAAATTATTAATCAACACTGTCATCATCAAGGACTTCATTCACACGCGAATATTTGCATAATTATCTTTCTGAAACATCCAGTCAAAATACTTTTGGCAACGCTGAATATTTACATAGAAATATCTAAAGTTGAGGTTATGGTTGTGTGTGTGTGTGTGGGTGTGTTGGTTATCTATCTATCAAATTGAAACTGCTTCGGATATTGTTCGAGACCAAACAAATTGCATCCGGCGTATAGACTGCTGTGGTGGTGCGGTAGCACAGCTTCTGTTAAGTACACATGTGCAGAAGACACTGCGGCGAGCCGCCTCCACCTCCACCTCCACATCCTAAACTCTCACAGCAGGCGCTTTGGCTGGCAGCATGATAGGCGTAAGTGTTTGCTTAATATTCTCAAGCCGCAAGCAGCACCTGCATCCAAAGTCTTCAAATTTTTTTGCAAAAAAGCAAAAAAATTGAAAAAAAATTAATTAAAAATTAATTGAGTGTTTGATCAAGTTATAGAGTTTCAGGTGAATGTACATTTAGAAAATTATTACTTGCTGATAATTAATTATAGATTTTTTCTTTAAAAATTGCAAAAAAATCGTTTTTGGGAATTTTTTTCTTTAAAAATTGCAAAAAAATTATTTTGGCTAAAATTTCGGTTGTAAATGCAAAAATATTTTGATATATTATTAAGGATTGCAAAAACTAAATAAAAAAAATTAAATTTTTGCTAAAAACTACATTTGTTGTCCAAAAACAATTTT